AGTCCTGCACACCCTTTTACAGATATTACTATACCTGCATTCAGTGTGCGAACTATTGGTTGAATTTAAACAATAAAAAATACGGCAGCTAATGTTTGCTTTTTTTAACACTACGTCACTAAGACTGACACATGATGAGTTCGCTTTTATCCACAAATCCTATATTTGAATTCAGCTTCTGTACAAGACACGCCTCTCCTAAAGAGTGCCTTTTGCTCCTCAATTAACAGACACAAACATGTATATTAGAGAATGTCTGTGCAAATTGATCAGGGCCCTTACATGGAAACAACATCCTTTTCAACTCATACGTTGTGCAGAAACCGTACAATACAGTACTTGTCGCCTACCTTTTTTCCACCGCTCCTCACCGGAAAAGCAGAATAATTCGACCACGAAGATAATGCATTGCGACGAAAAAAAGTTTATTTCCCCTCAAAAATTTCCATGTCTTGACCCACTATCTCTCCGATAACCGACCATTTCTTCTCCCACAGTAGATCACCACCACGTTATCTTACTCCAAGCTCTTCCCTTGTGAACACCTCCCGATCTCCCACTCTCTTGCTTCTTCTGTGTTGCCTGCAACCAAGCTGTTAGCGCTGAAGTCCCGTGGATTGTCACTTGTGGAGGGGATGAAACGCACGAAGAAGAAATTGTTGTTGCAGGGAAGTGTTGAAAATCGGGAGATAGTGTGGTGAAGACATACATTTTGAGGTGGGTTCGATTATCTGGACTTTCGGTGAAGCGAGCGGTGGAAAAACAGTAGGCGACATACGTTATGACATTTCTCCACAACGTAGGAGTTGAAAGGCCATGTTGTTGTCACGTAAGGGCCCTGACCATGTTGCACAGACATTTAATTACATTTGTGTTTGTGTAAGAGGAGCAAAAGGCACTCTTTAGGAGATGCCCCCAACGAAGTGTATAGTACTAACTGGGAGCTCTGGCCATGTAGCGCAGGAATCCAGTTTGCTAGAACCAATTCTGGTCTTCTTTTTTTCCCTATCGACAGTACTGCGTTGGACCTCTAGTGATTCAAACTTAGGTAAGAAATCTCCGAAGTTTCCCCTTTAATTAGATACCATCAAAAGGTTGCAGTGCTCACAGCATGCTGAAGGCCGTCGAGTGCCAGTGTAATCCTACACGGCCTAATTGTTCATACACTAAGGAAGCTGTTATGTAGGCAGAGTTTACAGCGCTTTGGTGGCCATTTGTGTAGCGACTAAGAGGCTCTGGCGTAGTCAATAATGGCAACAACAGTCTTGAAACAACACATGGTTGGCACAAGAAATGCAACCACACACACACACATCTGTGCTGCACTGACTCCTCCAGATGATCCAGTCAGTCTCTACTTACAGGAATTTATTATGTGGCATGTTGAGACAACTCCCTCCTCCTTTTAGCTTAAGCTCATACATTTTACAGGTGGACTGTTAGACCATGCCGTGGTCACTTTTGCACTTAAAGTTAAAGTTGAAGAACACAAACATTTCTTGTATATATGTAGACATTTTAAATTACTGTATTTTGTTTACATTTAACCCAGAAATCCACCAATCCCACGAATTTACAAAAAAATCAGCCTTCTGATATGTTTAGGAGATAGCAACAGTCATAAAGAACCAATGCCTGACAACTCTGATGTCTCGTATTGGCGAATATTCAGCTGTATATTTCTGATTCTCCAGCTGAACACTTGACTCTGAAGCCTGCACACGTGGAGCGTATGTTGAGTGTTTCAGCCAGAGGCATCACTTATCACCTGTCAGGTAGTGTAGGCCTGTTTAAGTTCCTGACACACCCTTTTACAGTATATTACTATACCGCATTCAGTGTGCGAACTATGGTAATTTAACTATAAAAAAGCTGTGCCGCTAGATGTTTTGGCCTTTTTTTAACAACTACTTCTACTAAACTACACAGTATGTTCTCTTTATCCACATTATCTATATTTTGAATCAGCTCTGTACAAGACACGTCTGTCTCACAGACTCACAGAACACATCAGGGCTCTTTCACAGCGTCAGTGCCACGGTGCCACCATAGAGGCTTCCTTCAGTCATGCACAGCCAGCCATCTGTGAGACTGTACTTAGGCAAGGTGGTAATTTGAGCTAAATGCTAACGTCAGCATGCTCACAATGACAACTAACATATTCATGTTTAGCAGATATGTTTAAAATGTTCCCTGTCTTAATTTAGTATGTTAGCATGCTAACCACTGCTGTATTCAAGAACCACATTTGTCAAGCCCAAAACTCAACAAGTCCAAGACCAGACTTCCATGAGAGAGAGAGTCAAGAATCCAGAGTCCAAATGAGAAAGTCAAGACCAAGACAGGAAAAAAAAGAATGCTTTTGCCATTGCTAACCAGATGAGTTTTGGCAGCCAGGTAAACGATTGCTAGTTACTATCATTAGCCGCCTGGTAACCATGATTACCAATGTCATTGCCCGTTTTAGATGGATTCTGAATTAAACCAATACCCGTTCTCTGAACAAGCATGCTACATCAGTGGTTATGTTGAAGTTACTATGTATATTTCTGGACTCCATCTAGAATATTTGGTGAGACCAAGGCCAAGTCAGAGACACGTCTGAGCATAGCTTAGCACAGCATTGTGCTAATTTTACTTAATGATTTGTTCGGTAGACAGAGCTGTCCAAAGATCTGAATCTGTTCTAAAATGTACTGACTCATATTTGGTATAGCTATAACAAAGGGCCATAAAGCAGTTTCAGCTAAATTTAATTAAATGAGCACGAAGAATGACTACAATACAACAGCTGACCAAGCTGCAACTAATGGGTTTTCAATGCTGAAAAATCTTCAAGAAAAGCCGGCAGATAATCACAAACAAAGAAAATGTATTCCTTCTAATAAAGGACACTGAAACATTGAAAACCCGAGATAATTCAAAAGGATGTCTATGGAGGTTCTAGTAAAACCGAATCACAGTGGGAGACAGCAAAAGACAAAAAACATATTGACAGTGTTGCCATGTGACATTAAAGCCAGTTGGCCTTTAGTAAACACCATATTGGCCTTTTGTACGTAAGCATGGTGTGTTCTAACCTTGTTTGAGAACCTGTCTTTCCGGACCCTCGCTCTGATTATCTTATCAGTTAGTATTGATGTGCCTGCACGTGTGTTCTGGTGATGACAGCAGCATCTTGTCATTCTTTTCAAGCTCAAGGTTTTCAAACTTGACTTTAGTAGGAGGAGGAAAGGTCTAATGGCCCTAAGAGGATTTTTATTATTTAATTTCAAAAGCACTTCAGTTTCTGTTTGACTGAACTGGAACCAAAGACTAGGAAAGTCCAGTATGTGCTATTTTCCAACATGTGTGCACAACGAAAACACCACTCTAAGGGTAACTTGAGAGCATGCAGCCGGAGCTTTTCTCTAAATATCTGAGCATGTTAAGTCACCTGCATAAATATGTCATTGGCCATCAAGCATGTGAGGCACACTGCTCATTCTGCAGGACGCCACATTTACAGAATAATCTGCACATTTTCTTGTTTCTGTGGTTTGCCCCATGTTGAACACTGGCCAACTTAAACAGACCATGACAAACACTCTCTACAGAACATCGTACGTTTTCAAGTTTATTAGTGAAGTACAAATAGGGTAATACACAGAACTAATCTGACTGCTTATTTAAAGATATCAGGTGACTGCCATCATGCCCTTTCCCCACCCAAGTATGACATAGACTGTATATTCTGTAACCAGAGCATACAGTACTGAATTAAGAGTCTGCCTTTTAAAAAAAAGACTATTATTGACATTTTGTAGAACTGAAAATAGCCTCAGTGATCAATGTCTCAGTTCATCTTTAGCAGCTCAAATGAAGTGCATCTTTTAACATTATGTAAGTATGAATTCATTATTAGGGCTACTTTAATTATTAAAAACGGGCCACAAGAAAGCACTTTGCTTAGACAGATTCCATTTGCAACACAGTGTGAGAGTCTTCATTGGGTCTAAAAATCATTTTCTGTTGCAGCAGTGACCATGAACCTGCTGAAGTCTGATTATGCAGAGGCCCTTTGTGGGACATTTGGGCACTGGTTAGTTTTGACAAGCTGCCATGTTGGAAGAGCGGCAACGAGAGACTGTAATGGCGTCACCTCCCCCTTCCTCATCCCTCCCTAAGATTGAGTATTGTTTATATTTCATTGAATTCTACATATCGATTGGAAGAAATGTCATTGGAAAAAGGGCCACCGTTGATGTGCCGGGTCAGAGAGGAGCAAATATTACAATGTGTGCTGCAATCTCAAGTGCTGGTTTGGTTCTGCACAAATGCCAGATTGGTCCCTACAATACCGAGCGACTTCTTTTGTTTTTAGATGACCTCCACCAACGACTGGTGCCAGAAGCAGAAAGGGAACAGGTTGGAGGAAACCTGAGGACATTTGTAATTGGCATAGGGACAATGTTGCATTTCACCAATCACATGCAATCACAAACTGGTTTGAGGCCCATCCAAGAATGGTTTCCCTTTTCCTCTCCCCTTACTTGCCTTTCCTCAACCCCATTGAGGAATATTTTTCTTCCTGGAGGTGGAAAGTGTACGATCATCGGCCACATGACCAAATGTCTCTACTTGATGCAATGGATGCCGGC